TCTTCTCATGAGGTGGCCAAAGTCTTGGAGCCTCAGCTTCAGGATCTGTCCTTCCAGTGAGCACTCAGGGCTGATTTCCTTCAGAATGGAGAGGTTTGATCTTCTTGCAGTCCATGGGACTCTCAAGAGTCTCCTCCAGCACCAGAATTCAAAAGCATCAATTCTTCGGCGATCAGCCTTCTTTATGGTCCAGCTCTCACTTCTCTCACCAGAACATCTGATAGTGACTTGCCTTTTCCCCCTTTTGTGTCTAAGATACCCTCTGACAGTGTGTCTGGGCTGAGGGCCTTAAGCTCATATGGCTGTCTGATAGCAACTTGCTTGCATGCTTCTTTCATGTCTAAGGTCTGAGAACGAATCTGAGTTGAGGCCCTTAGGACACCTCCTACAAATGTCTAATAGCAACTTTAGATTCTTCATTTCTCCCATTTCTAAGTGGAAAACCCATTGAGAATGAATTCGAGTCAAATGCCTTACACCTCATGTTAATATCTGACAGCAACTTGCTTGCATCATTTGTTCCTTCCATTTCTAAGACAGATAAATGAATCTGGGTGCTTAATGCTCTAATACAGGCTTCCTCAACCTTGGCCCTCCAGATGTTTTGAGCCTACAATTCCCATCATCCCTGACCACTGGTCCTGCTAGCTAGGGATCATGGGAGTTGTGGGCCAAAAAACATCTGGAGGGCCAAGGTTGAGGAAGCCTGCTGTAATAGGAATGCCTTTGAAGAATGAACCTTAATCGGGAGTCTCAGACAGAGGTTGCCACAGTCTCATCCAACAAGCAAGGTGTCCCTCTTGTATTATTGAATCAGTCTCTACTCCAGGCGCAGGCAAACTCCTGCACAGACTACAACTCCCATCATCCCTAGCTAACAGGACCAGTGGTGAGGGATGATGGGAGTTGTAGTCCCAAAACATCTGGAGGGCCGAGTTTGCTTATGCCTTGCTCTACTCTCTTCTGAGCAGCCTTCAGCTGATCCATGGCCCAATCCAGCTCCACTCCACAGGGGATTACAGTTCAAGACTGAAGGGAGCAGGTTAGCCAAACAGGAGAAACCTGCTCTTCCACATCCACCTCCATGCCAAGGTGAGGTTTGCCAGAGGCTCAAAAACCAATCCCTTTTCTTCCACCAGACACTCCACAGGGCAGAACGCCAGCAAGGAAAACCCAACCTAGAACTGGGAGGATATTAAACACAATTATTAAGAAGAGGACTCCCTCTCAGGTGTTTGCTAGATGGTACCTGGCAGATTGAGATGTCCGTAAGGTCGCATTCGGCCTGCAGGCCACTGCTACAGATTGGTCTGGCTCAGAATAGGAGAACTTTCTATATTGAGGCCCCATTTGCACCAGACATGGTACCATTTTTGACCATCATGCATTCCCCCAAAGATCATGGGAGCTGTAATTTGTTTACGCTGCTGAGAGTTTTAAGTAGACCACTCTTAACTTAACAGAACTGCATCTCCCAGAATTCCCCATGAAGAGGGATTGATATATATATGTGTGTGTGTGTGTGTGTGTGTGTGTGTGTGTGTGTGTGTGTGTCGTATTTTTCGCCCCATAGGATGCACCTAGTTTTTTGGGGGGGAAATAAAGAAAAAAAATTATTTCCCCCCAGGCGCGGGGGAAGCCCGAGCTTCCCCCAATCCCAGCCCCAATAACAGCCTGTTATCCGCAAGCCTAGGGAGGCCTGTGGTAAGTCGCGCGGGTCTCCCCAGGCTTCGGAATGCAGACAGCTCTGCGCAGCCATCGGGAGGCGGGCGCGAAGTGGCGCCGGTCTCCCAAGGGTTGTGCAGAGCTTCCTGAAGCCTGGAGAGCGAGAGGGGTCGGTGCGCACCGACCCCTCTCACTCTCCAGGCTTCAGCGAAAGCCTACATTCGCCCCATAGGACCTACACACATTTCCCCTTCATTTTTGGAAGGGAAAAAGTGCGTCCTATGGGGCGAAAAATACGGTGTGTGTGTGTGTGTATATATATATATATATTTCTTGCTACTGTTCTTTCATTGGGATTTCCTCATTCTTCCATCCTTGTGCTAACAAGATTCTTGCCGCTGTTGTAACATACATAAATAAGTTCTTTATTTTTCATGGCAGGTCTTGTCCTATAATCCCTAACAAAAATTTAAACATTTTTTTAAATTCATTATATATCATTTCCCAAAAATGTTTAACTTCTCTACATCCCCACCACATATGGTAAAAAGTCCACATATGGCAAAAAGGTACTGCTCCAGCGGGAAGGTAAACAATATTTCTGTGCACTCTGGTTTCCGTCACGGTGTTCCGTTGCGCCAGAAGCGGTTTAGTCCTGCTGGCTGTCTGTGGACAAACGCCGGCTCCCTCAGCCTGAAACTAAGATGAGCGCCGCAACCCCATAGTCACCTTTGACTGGACTTAACCGTCCAGGGGTCCTTTACCCTTTACCATTGTGACTGGCAAAGCAGAAGGCGGGGAACCCTCATAGTAGGTGGAGCCAGAGTCATCAGCCTCCCTGCTAAGTTCTACTGGGGCATAGCTGCCAACCGTCCCCTTATTTGGCAGGAAACTCCCTTATCCCAGTGCTGTGTCCCACTGCTGTCCCTTACTGATGATGTCCCTTAAATTTTCCAGGTTTCATGCTTGCCTGGCTCGGGAGGAAAGCAGCAGCTCAGGGTCCTCTGCCACGAAAGAGAGAGGCGCATGAGCTGCCACGTCTCCGTCTCTCTCTTTTCCCCTTCAGGGCGCGTCATGAGGAGACGGGTGGCGGCGGGCGGGCAGGCAGCCCCTCTCTTCCAAGACTTCTGAGGGGGGGGGAGGCGGCAGCGGCAGTGGTGGCTGAGGAGGTGGCCTGAGGGAGGAGGAAGAGGAGGGGATGGGGAGGGATGCAGAAGGGCGGCGCTTCAGCAAGCTGCTGCGGCGCCTCATGCCGGGCTCACGGGCAACGTGGGTGAGAGTCTCTCTCCCTCCCCCCCTCTCTCGGGCAGGGAAGGGCTGATGGAACTCCCCGTGCCAGGACAATGGCGGCCCCGACGTGCTGCTTAGCATCCCCTCCAACCAGTGCAGCATCTTAATGTAGTGATTTCCCCTCTGCATCCCTTTCATAACTCTATTCTTATAAATCATTTCTCCATCCATAGTTCAAATTTTTACTACAAGTTTTCTGTCACTCCTACCAAATGTATGTAACTCTTTACAATAGCTTTTCAACTAAATTATAAACTTTCCCCATTCTTTATGAAATAGGTCCTCTTCCTGGTTTCTAATTCTGCCTGTAAGCTTTGCCATCTCGACGTCGTTCATCAGTTTTGTCTGCCCCTCTTCTTTGTGGGAGTTGTAGACCCTTAGGATCATGTAGTCCAACCCCCTGCAAAAAAAACACAGTCAGTCGCTGCAAAAGCAGCCTGGCTCCATCAGTCCTGGATTTCTGTATAAGCTAAGCAAAATCCCTTATTTGGGCTGTTGATCCCTTATTTTCGAGGCTGCTGGTCCCTGATTTTCAAATCTGTAAGTTGACAGCTATGACCAGGGTTAATATTGAAACTCAGGTGAATGAAGCTGCAGACAGTGTCACACAGCTTGTGCTTGCAAGCAGGCACATGGGAGCTGGCCGAGTGCTGACTAAGAGTGAGGTGGGCAGTGCCAGCATCTCTTTCCAGCAGTTCAGCCAGATGCCTCCATGAAGCCAGCAAGCCAAACTCCATAATAACAACCCTCTCTCATGCGTGTTTTGTGTACAAGAAGTACCTACATGTTCTAAACGCCAGGAATTCCCTTACCTGTGAGCCAACCTTTTCATCCCGGTGTCAGCTCACCAGCACCATCTGGTGGATAGGTACAGACATCGCAAGGCGGCTCCATCAAATCCATCATCTTTTCTATAGCAGCCAACCAGATGCTTGAAGGAGAAATCTATAAGCAAAGCCTGAAGGAGCAGGGGTCAGAGAAAAAATCGTCTGCCTGGCATGCAGAAGGTCCAGATTCAGTCTCCAGCATCCCCAGGTATGATTGGGAAAGACTCCTGTCTGAAACCCCTAGAGAACAGCTGCCAGTCAGTGTAGGGGATACTGAGCCAGATGGACAAATTGTCTGACACTGTATAAGATACTTTCCTCCATAAGCCACCCTCCCTGTGATTGCCTTCCTTTAAGAGTTTGGGTGTAATCCTTGATGACTCCCTTTCCATGGAGGCGCAGGTTACAGCAACAGCCAAGGCGACATTTTTCCACTTTCGCCGCATCAAGCAGTTGGTCCCTTACTTTTCCCGCCCCGACCTGGCCACAGTGATCCATGCGACGATCACCTCCAGGCTTGACTACTGTGATTCGCTCTACGTGGGGCTGCCCTTGAAGCTGTCCCAGAAACTCCAGCGGGTGCAGAATGCTGCAGCGAGGCTCCTCACGGGGTCTCTGCCATGGGAGCATATTCACCCAGTGCTTTTCCAGCTGCACTGGCTCCCGGTGGAGTACAGGGTCAGATTTAAGGTGCTGGTTTTGACCTTTAAAGCCCTTCACGGCCTAGGACCCTCGTACCTACGGGACCGCCTCTCCTGGTATGCCCCATGGAGGACCTTAAGGTCCATAAATAGCAACACCCTAGAGGTCCCGGGCCCTAAGGAAGTTAGATTAGCCTCAACCAGAGCCAGGGCCTTTTCAGCACTGGCTCCAGCCTGGTGGAGCGCTCTGTCTCATGAGACCAGGGCCCTGCAGGATCTGAATTCCTTCCACAGGGCCTGTAAGACAGAGTTGTTCTGCCTGGCCTTTGGCTTAGAATCAATTCGATTCCCCCTCCTTTCTTTTTTCCTTTCTCCTCCTGTGATATTTTATGCTTTAATGTTTCAATGTTATATTTTAATCTTGTTTTTTAAGTTATATTTCAATCAACTTGTTTTTATAATTGGTTGTTAGCCACCCTGAGCCCAGCTTCGGCTGGGGAGGGCGGGATATAAATAAAATTTTATTATTATTATTATTGTATAGCTTTCACCATAGGCTGAAGATGCACCACTGAACCCTGAGAGAACCCACCCTATTCTAACCTATCCTGGGACCTCATGGCAAATGATGTGCAAGAAATCCAACCAACAGCAGACTGAACTGTAAAGTACTTACCTCCTTCTCCATAAAACAAGAGGCCATTATAAAATTTTGTTTCTGCCTAGGAACAAAGAAAAGATTTTTTTCTCTTGAATAAGAAGTCTATAGTTATACCTTTGTTATATAGAAGGTGAATAAACTAGTTTCTAGAAAGCAGTTTGTAGTTGGCAAAATGAAGAGATATTTACCTCATATCTTAACTTTTTTATTTCACAGCAAAGGGCAGCATACACAGTGATTACTTTGTTTAGAACCTGGATAAATGAAATAGAAATGCTAAATATTAGTACATGTACAGCAATATCTATCTGTCTATCTATCATCTATCTATCTATATCTGCAGCAAAGGGGGTCAGGCCAGGGCTAGCTACATTTAGCACATTCTCTCCCTAAAATATTTCCATTCAAGCTGATTGTTGATTTTTCCTCCTCCCTTTCCAATTGTTTTCCTTTTTGGTGTGTTTTAGGTTGGTTGTAAGTCTGGAGACAGGAACTTTACTGTTTGTTGCTGATATTATGTAAACTGCTCTAGAAGCCTTTTCAGCTGAAGAATGGAGTAAAAAGGTTTTTGTAATACATATTTAAAATTAAGAACTTTACCTTGTTTTCCGTATTTATGAGTTCGAGTAAGGAAGACTGTTCATAAGGCAAAAGCTAAAATAAAACAAAATAACTGGTGATTTTAGGAAGCCAGAGACCTGCCACATAACTGAATAGGCTAAAATATCCAATTACAGTTGACACAGCTGTTTCAAACAAAATCTTAAGTGCAAATATAGAGGCGGATTATATATATATTTTAAATTATGATACTGGCAGTAACAGAGATTGTTTGCTTAAAAGAAAAGAACAAACAAACAAACAAACCCTGTCCAACTCCTTTGGGGGGGGGAGGAACCACGCAGAGCAGAACTACAAGATCTTTTTCAAATGTTATTTTTAGAAACATATTAACTAAACGACAGCTATCGCATGGAAAAGATCTAGCATACAATGACTTGTATGATTTCTAAACAGGCCCATAGCTAGATACCACTAGGAACTTCTACTCGCCTTCAGAGACTCGTGTACTCTGCCAGAAATGCAGTCAAGAGATTTTCAAAAGCAACTTTCTTTAATAACAATAATTTTGTTTTTTAGTGTAACAGGAACATATGGTTTCCTGGAAGGCTTAAGTCCCAGTTGTACTTTTCGTATCAACTGAGGAGCCGCACCTAGTGGGAAATACTGTAAATAATTACTAAAATACTTACTTTACCCTAGATATGACTAGCCAATTTGCAAAGCACTTCTGCACATGTGTGCATGAACACGCACAGAGCATATGGTAGCCATAGGTGTTTTTTTACTTCAGGGTTCCAGAAATTTGAGGGACTTTGGAATGCACAAGGAGCTGCCACCAGAAGATCATGAAAACTTTGGCTCCAAGTCTAAATTAACCATGATTTCTAGTCCATGTTCCCATCTATCAGCTTTAACTCTATAGGTTTTCCATAATGATTTCTTACGACCGCATAGGGTTTTGTTTTTTAAAGTCACACAGGTCATAAAAACTTCTCCTGAAGAGACCACCAACAGATGAGAGGATTCAACAGGGGCACCTGCTCCTCCACTTCCCCTCAGCAAATTTAAAAAGCTTTGAGCCTGGAGTGGAACTCAATGGGATACACACACACATATCTAATTGGGTTTTTTATGTTTGCTTCTCCCCACCCCTGTTTTTTGCTGTTTGTGTGTTAGTTGTAAGCTGCCTAGAGTCCCTTATCAAGAGAAAAGGCAAGATATAAATATTAACAACAACAATAAATTCCTGTGTTTTTATATTTTCTTCAATTTTAAATTTTGTTGCATTTTTCTTTAAACCACTTTTAGATTAGGAAACACAATATATGTTCGGGGGATGGGAACAAACAAGTGCAAGGCTCTATTGAACAAAAACACAAAGAAGGTACCAGGTTCAATTCTGGCATCTCTAGGTAGAGCTGGGACATAAAAACCTCTGTCTGAAGTCTTCAAAAGCCAACAGTGTAGACACCAGTGAGCTAGATGGACCAAAGGTATAAGGCAATTTCCAAGGCTTCTAGGGAGAGGACCATTCCTGCCTTTCCTCTGTGCCAAAGTCATCGCAGGCAGCACTGACTGGGATGAGAGTGGATGGTCTACTGCGGGGTGGGAACCTTTTGTGGCAACATTCCAGGAACCACATGCCAGTGGTGGGCAAGACCAGAACAACCCACAAGGCATAACCCATAGGGCAAGCCTTGGTTACAGTGTGTGGTTAGTCTGGAGAGAGCTAAACCATAAGACCAGGTTTTGCAGGACACATTAAGCCAAGCAATGGCTCAATATTGCAAGAGAATGACTAAGGAGGAGCAAAGTACCATGATTCTTCTCCTAGAGCCCACATGCTTGTGCATTCGTGCTAAGCTATGGTTTGGTTTATTGTGACATGAAAAGCAGGTCAATGTTTAAAACGGAATACTTCTCTTCTGAAAGCAGCTGAATGCTAGACATTTAGGCTACAGTCCTGTACCCAGTCACACACACAGGTCATTACTAACACGGGATTTACATGTGCATAGCTATGCAAAGCACTACAGCCCTATTCCAAAGAGCTTTAGCTCACCGATATCGATTACACAACAGAATTAAGTGAACAGAGACAAGTGCGTAGTAAAGAAAAGCTTACATTTAATGCAATGGGATCAAGATTGAAATCCCAAACATCTCCTACAGAGTCATCCAACGCATCTTCAATTCGCTTCAGCTGGGAAGTGTATGCCTCTAGGAATTTCCCATAATTCTTCAACTGTACTCCAACATGAATTCTAAAAATAAATTGTATTCCATTAGGACAGGTTATTTGTTATCATAGTCATTAAACTAAAATTTCCTAAACCTTCAACAAAAACAATCTAGATCACAGGTGGCCCAACTTGCAGCCCTCCAAAGGTTGCCGAACTACAGCTCCCACAATTCCTCATCATTAGCCATGCTGGCTGGGGCAGACAAGAGTTAAGTCCAATAGCACCTGGTAGACCAAAATTTGCCCCCCCCCCGACCTAGATAAATAACCTGTTGTTCAAGTGAATGTCCTGTGTGTGCCTTTTTTGTTTTTTGTTTTAAAAGATCTATTTCCACAATAAGCGATTTTATCGGCGTTTTGCTTACAATCTGTCTATGCAAATTTAACCTCATACAAGGGACCTATTTGTCCAAAACAGAAAGATTTTTAAACGAGACAAAGTCTACATCAAGTTACACAAACTTCTGAAAGTTTGAATCATGTATTTATGTAAAAAGGTAAAGGACCCCTGACAGTTAAGTCCATTCGCAGATGACTCTGGGGTTGCGGCGCTCATCTCGCTTTACAGGCTGAGGGGGCCAGCATTTGTCTGCAGACAGTTTTTCCAGGTCATGTGGCCAACATGACTAAGCCGCTTCTGGCGAACCAGAGCAGTGCACAGAAAACACCGTTTACCTTCCCATCTGAGTGGTACCTATTTATCTACTTGCACTTTTTTGGCGTGCTTTCGAACTGCTAGGTTGGCAGGAGCTGGGAGCAAACAACAGGAGCTCACCCCATCGTGGGGATTCAAACCACCAACCTTCTGATCGGCAAGCCCAAGAGGCTCAAAGTAGACCACTGCAACTAGTCACACCTATTTTTCCATGAATATTTCAGTACTATACTAACAACAATATGCAACATCACTAATATCAGAAGCCTTGGAATTTAATCAATGTTAACTCCAACTTTTTAAAAGGAATCAATAGCGTGACCAGGATATTAAAGGTCTGTTAAGCTAGGAGTACAGCTAGATGAGTGGGAAGTTATTACTCAAGCTAGAATTTTTAAAACTATTGAAAACAAGACTTGTTGAAGAAGAAGCACTGTGGTTTCTGCAACCAGAACTCATGTTTCATCAACCTTCTAAAAATTATGAGTGTCAGCAAACACTTAGATAGGAGTAATCTGGCACACATTATAAACTTAGATTTCCAAAAAAATATTTGACCAAGCCCCCAAAGGTTTCTAAGTAATCTTAGAGGTCATGAGCTAAGGCGAACAGATTCTCTTAGACACCAACTGAAGAACAGGAAGCAGAGGATATGGAGAAACAGTCAGTTTTCACAATTGAGGGAAGTAACCATTAGGGTCCACTGTTTTTAAACTACTATTAATTAATTTATAATTAACTGTAGTGAGTGTCAACTGTAGCAGTGTTAGCCAGGTTTGTAGATGACACAAACTGATTAAGAATATGGTAAGTCAAACAAACAGTGAAGAACTCCAAGAAGCTCCCCTCAAACTGGATGAAGGAGCAGCAAATACGTAAATGAGATTTACTGTAAGTACAAAGGAATGCGGGGGGGGGGGATCTCAACTTCATAACTGCTAGGCACAGTCATTGGATGTTCTGTCCAGGAAATGGTTGTGAAGGACAGCTCCAGGAAAACATCAGCTCAATATGCAACAGCAGTGAGGAAAGTAAATTCTATGCTAGGCGGATAGAGAAATCTTTCTCATAACATTAGAATTCAGGGTCACCAATAAATCTGATTAGCAGCAGATTCAAAAGAAAGAAAAGACTTCTTCACACAGTGTATGGTAAGATTATTGAATTTGCTGCCACAAAGACATGGTGATGGCTACTGGCTTAAATGGTTTCAAAAGTGATGAACCAGCTAAACATATTTCATGTTCGGAGGCAGTGTGTCTCTGGGACAGTGGTGCTGTTGCCTTCATGCTCTCTGGTTGTAGATTTCAAAGACTAGGTGGATCATGGAGCTGATCCAGTAGGACTGATCTAATGTTGCCACCTTCCTCTAACTTAAGCCCATTAGATCTAGTCCTCTCTGAGGAAGCAAAACACAAACCTAAGGTTTCTGCAAATACCTGGACGACACAGAAGAGGGCCAGAAGTCCTCTTTCGCAGTTTCTTCAACTTTTTTCTCATAACGCTTGTTTTCCAAACCCCTGACCACCCTCATTTGAACTTGTTCAAAAAGTAAGACACCCAGAGCAAGACACGGTACTCCAGGTGACATTAGACTAGTGCAGAATAAAGCAGAGCCATTGCCTATTGCAACTTGGAAACCACAGTTCTACTAATACAGCCAAAAATTGCATTAGTCTTTCTTACACATCACAGTGCTGACTCATGTTCAGCTTGCAATAGACTACAATCCCAAGACATGGGATTGATCTCATGACACTGAGCTACACATTCTTCGTGACATACTCCCCTTCCATGTCTTAGGCATGTCCTTTTTATTTTCAGCTGATTACTAAGCTTTTTTTGTGTAGCTACACTGACTTTTTATAGGTCTTCTATTTCTTTCTCTCATTTGTGATTGTTCTTTAGTAATATCTAGTCATGGAATCCTACCTAGCATTTCTCTGAGCTTACTCAAATCAGCTTTCCTAAAATCCAAGTTACATTTTAAACTATATTCACCTTTGGATTTCTATAAAATAACGGATTCCAGCATTACATAGTCAATTATACAAGAATTCACACATGAGTCAAATATACTGTTCAGAAGCTATAATTTAAGACAATCAAAGGCATCATCCCACAAATGCAACACAGGAAGTTTTAAATGAAATGATTTAGAGAATAAATATTTTTAACCAGCTTTATAAGATTACTTTCATCTTGCTTTCCTCATCAGCTTGCTTTCCTGACCCACCTGCAAGGTGATTTGAAAGGCACATGTTAAATGTCAAAGTTTTCCTGTTTTTTGTTTCATCTAATTACTTCAATATTCAAACCCGGAATGCTGTGTGAAAAACATTACTTTATAAATTTCTGTTGCATATGCTGGAATGAGCAGGTAGACAGAATGTCAAGATGGGAAATTTAGTTTTTCCTTCAAAAAAATGGGCATCGATATGCTATAGATCACTGTGACAAAAATGTATCAGTTCACGACGTTCTCCAAGTAATGGTTGTGTAATATATAAAGCATGATAATTCATTTCAAATTATGCACAGCATACTAATATGACGTGTACATGCAAGCGTGTGGAAGAACAATTTACATAAGGTTTAAATTTCAACAGCATGAAATCATTGCCACATGCAATTATTATGGTGTTTTTTAAATGAAGGTTGTGAAAACTAAGTGGAAAAGAGTGTCCAGTTTCTTCAAACTAAAGTGAAGAGAGTGAAAGCCACACACCACCCAACTAAATTATTTCAGCATGACTTAATTTTTCTGGCTAAAGAATAGTGTAGCTGCAAGAATAAAGCCTAACTGTATTTAAGAAGGAAGTACGTACTTAATGAGAAAGCAAAGAATAGGTAACCACAAATTTGGGGAAGATTTGGAATAAAGTGGCTATTTTAGAAGAAAAAAGAGAAACAGAACCCCAAAGACACAGGCAAAGAGAATGGAAAGTGTTATTACCATATTAACAAGGAAGCTGCTTGTCAGAAAGAGTGAAAGGCGGGAAGGGGACTTCCCAGAAATCAAGCTGCAGCCCAACACTCAGAACATAGAGGTTTCTTACTGCCAGCTGACCTACAGCATGTTACATTACAATAACCAATAGCTTTCCATATGGGACCTATCAATGGCTGCTTGCCAGAATGGCTATGTTCTGCCTACACTGGAAATCACAAGTGGGAAAGTGCTATTTCACTTCAGTCCCGTTTGTGGGCTTCCCATAGGCATAAAGTGTGAGAATACTTTGCTGGTCTAGGAAGGCTTTTGGTCTAATCCAGCAGGACTCTTGTTATGTTCTATATTAGACCCAACATTGTTGAACCTGTGGTATGTACACAATCATTTGTTCAGTATTCCATATTGACAATCACTTACAAAAAGATAGATTCCCTATTTTACCCACAGAGATGCAATAAAACTCAGGGAAAATCTATCAAACTCTTGTCAGTTGAAAAACAAAGCAGATAAATGTTGGTGATTGTCTGTATCTCCGCCACACAATGAATCTCGAATACAGGTGTCTGCTAATGTGGAAGAGTTTATTATACATTACTGCTCCAGAGTAAACCAGAACTACCACCACACTCCAGATTTATATTGACAACCATGACGCACAGAAAGAATTCCCTCTTAATTCAAACATGAGATTGCTTAATCACGTACGTTTGGAAACTTTTGAAGCACAGCGCAACTTGCAAGAAGGGTGGTTAAAGAGTTATAAAAAGGAGCTGAATTCTAGTCCCTTTCCCAATGCATGTTTATTGGCAGGAGAAGGACTTTAATCTGCATTATAGAACCAGAGGGTAGCATTGTAAAAAGGTAAAGGTACCCCTGCCCGTACGGGCCAGTCTTGACAGACTCTAGGGTTGTGCGCCCATCTCACTCAAGAGGCCGGGGGCCAGCGCTGTCCGGAGACACTTCCGGGTCACGTGGCCAGCGTGACATCGCTGCTCTGGCGAGCCAGAGCCGCACACGGAAACGCCGTTTACCTTCCCGCTAGTAAGCGGTCCCTATTTATCTACTTGCACCCGAGAGTGCTTTCGAACTGCTAGGTTGGCAGGCGCTGGGACCGAACAACGGGAGCGCACCCCGCCGCAGGGATTCGAACTGCCGACCTTTCGATCGGCAAGCCCTAGGCGCTGAGGCTTTTACCCACAGCGCCACCCGCATTGTAATCCCCAACAAATTAATTCAGGGGGAGGAAAGCATAATTGTTTATAGTAGAAAAAAGGCAACTATAAAATAATTACAAACATGTTAACTGTTGCTCATACTGTATCAAACTATCCTCTGGACTGAGTTTCTAATTTAGACCATTAAGTCAAGTGGGAGGTGGTAATGGAACATGGCCGAAATGGTAAAACTGAGAGCATGCAAAGAAAAAAGAAAAGAAAAAAGAAAGAAAAGGGGAGTGTCATCTTTGTTAATTACTGGAACCAGACTTTTAACAAGAAACAAGTTTTTAACAGTACAATCCCACGCATGCCTGCTCAGAAGTTAAGATCCAGAAGACCTTTGCCACCCCATTTCGGGATAGAGACTCCTTCCTCTCAACCTGGCAGGAATTCGTGTGCTGTTGATTTTTGGCCTCTGGGAAGGAAGGACGTGATTTTTGTACAGGTATTGATGATGACACCCTTGTACCCTTCAGCCACCTTGACCGCGAGCAAATGGGTGGCTGAAGAGCGTGGCTGCCAAAGGTGCCAGCTTCCCAAAGGGGGAGCCTGAGGCTGCCTCTGGTCATTTCCCCCCCCCACCCCCCAAAACCACCCCACACACCCCAAAAAAGATGCACAAGGTTGCTGACAGGCAGGCAGGCAGGCAGGCTCTGGACGGGGCATGGCAGGCAAAAGGCCTCCCTCAGGGGTCAGTCGGGGCGGGGCAGAGAGGGAAGGGAGCTGCGGGGAGGGGGGCCCTTTTCATGGGGGAGGCAGTTTTGACTGCGGGAGGGTGAGGGGGGAGCGGGATGTCCTCATGAGCAGAAGGACTCAAACCCCCCGCCCTCCAAAATGGGGGGGGGGCGGCCAACCCCGCAGTTGGGTCCCCTCAGAGAATGAGACACGCTTCCCGCCTCCCTCGCGCTTACTCTGAGAACCGTCGTCGAGGCGGTCGAACTCCCAGTCCGGCGAAAGGGTCTCCAGCGCCATGACGGACCCGCGCCCAGCGGCGGCGCCAGCAAGAGCAAGAGCAGCAGCAGCAGCAGCAGCAGCAGCAGCAGACCTGCCCCTTCCCACCCGACTCCAAAGATACGGGACTTCCTGTCACGCCCGCGCGGCATGCTGGGAAATGGAGTCTCCGGAGCTCGGGGCGGGCACGGCGCTTGGGCGGTTAGAGGGGCGCCCAAACAGCGGCCCCTGCCGGGTGAAGCGGGCCTGGCAACCGGGGAGGGAAGCTCGTGACAGGCAGCGTTTAAGGACACGCCCGCACTGAAAACTGAAAGCAAATATATTCCGATTTGCAGGGCAATCTTAGGAATGTCTACTCAGAATCAAGCCCTTGCAATCCCGGACACATTCAGCTGAGAGTTCAACCTAATGGTGCTTACTTCTGAATAGGTTCTGGTTTGACAGGGACGACGCACTTGCTAGGCGAGTTAAGGCGACTGCTTCAGGTGGCAGGATCCATAGAGACAGCAGATTCTGCCTCCAGAGACCTGGACGCCTGCAATTGGTTCCTGGAGAGCCGGTTTGCTGTAGTGTTCACAGTGTTGGGCTAGGTCCTGACACACTAGGGTCCAAATCCCCATTAAGCCATGAAGCTCCATGGGTCACCTGGGGTCAATCACTGCCTCTCAGCCTCACCTACCTCACAGGGCTGTTGTGGGGATTAAATAAGGAGAGGGAGAGCCATGTATGCCATCTTGAGCTGATTAGAGGGAAAGCGGGGGATATAAATGCAATAAATTAAGAATCTACTCTTCTCCTATTGATTTAAATAAAACCAATACAATACTCTATGCATTATGCAGGACTGAAACACCTGCTCTGGTGTTTCATATAAGTAGGAGATCACCACAGATCAGTTTCCGACTGACATGGCATTTTGCTTCAGATCCAAAGCAGAGCCTCCTTTTGGTTTGTCTTTTGATACTTCAGATGCCTTTCCTGCCGGTTGTAATGTTTAACCTCATTCATGGGCAAAAATGGATGAAATTGGCAAGCATCCCTTTCCTTGGGGATGAAACTTTCAGACAATTAGGTGTAGACTTGGACTAAAAGAAGCTCCCTCTGCCCTAACATAGGGTTTTCCAATGCAAACACCACTCCAGTCTGCTGAACAAGAATAAGTTGCCACTGCTCCCTTCTCTTCCCCGGTGGAGTCACAGATCTTGACGTGGAAGAGACTAGAACTAAGGCTGGAGAGAGCACATCTCCTTATGGGAGCAAAAGTCCTTTAAGATTAAGTTACATTTTTTCCCTTAGTATGAATGAACAGGCAGTTTCATGTTTCCTGAACTTGATTGTGGACCCACAAGGTCTGGAGTTGTCATGGTTGCCTATGGCCAGCCCCATGAACTGCAGTGAATAACTCCAGTGTGGCAAGAGGGTGGCAGGCACCCCAGGCAAGTCATGTCTGTTAAAATAGTGCTTTAAATGTATCATGTGGATGTGACCTTGTGGGTCCACAATCAAGTTCAGGAAACATTTTCCTCAAACTTCCATGTGTTCAGGCAACAAGTGAGGCAGAATACCGGTACTTTGCACACTGTACTGAGTACTGCAGTCTTTTTTCTTTTCCTCTTAGTGGCAGCAACTATATTAAGTTCTGTCTTAGTTACTGGCAGCCACATAACTGGATGCCAATCTGTCCATGAAGCCGTAAGTGTCAATCCACAGCTTCACTTGATGCTTCTCATGTGAACTCGGACAACTTGAAAATAAACACCAACTGCCTGTTGGCTTTGACTCGCCAGAAGCAACATCATGTGGGTATTGATGTCTAATACATGCAGGATTCCTCCTGCTTCATACTAGAACTGCTCTCATATTACTGTTTGCCAGTGCTGGTAAGGGACAAATCAAGACAAAGAAGAAATGAGAAAGTTCCTTACATTTCTACTCTCTCATGCATGCTCATTCCTTTAGTCATTCATACTAAGGAAAAAATGTAACTTAAAGGACTTTTGCTCCCATAAGGAGATGTGCTCTCTCCAGCCTTAGTTCTGGTCTCTTCCACTTCAAGATCTGTGACTCCACCGGAGAGAAGAAGGGAGCAGTGGCAACTTATTCTCGTTCAGCGGAGGTGGGGTGGTGTTTGCACTGGACAACCCTATGTTGGGGCAGAGGGAGCTTCTTTTAGTCCAAGTCTACACCTAATTGTCTGAAAGTTTCATCCCCCAGGAAAGGGATGCTTGCCAGTTTCATCCATTTTTGCCAATGAATGAGGTTAAACATTACAACCGGCAGGAAAGGCACCTGAAGTATCAGAAGACAAACCAAAAGGAGGCTCTGCTTTGGATCTGAAGCAAAATGCTAGTTGGAAACTCTGATCTGTGGTGATCTCCTACATATATGAAGCACCAGAGCAGGTGTTTCAGTCTGGCATAATCCATAGAAAATTGTATTGGTTTGATTTAAATCAATGGGAGAAGAATAGATTATTTATTTATTTATTGCATTTATATCCCCCGCTTTTCCTCTAATCAGCTCAAGATGGCGTACATGGCTCTCCCTCTCCTTATTTAATCCCCACAACAGCCCTGTGAGGTAGGTCAAATTGAGAGGCAGTGACTGACCCAAGGTGACCCATGGAGCTTCATGGCTTAATGGGGATTTGGATCTAGTGTGTCAGGTCCTAGCCCAACACTGTAACCACTACACCAAACCGGCCATCTAGGAACCAATTGCAGGCATCCAGGTCTCTCTGTTTGGCCCTCAGAACTCCCCACAGGCCCCTCTACTCCACAGGTCACACCATTCACTCACCCTAATCTGCACCCTTGGGTGTTTTCGTCTGACTAGAATGTGTCTTCAGAGAGGGTGGTGATGCTTCTTTTCCTTACCTGGATGGACGATGGAGAGATGAATGTGTATGTGCAGAACCCCTTGTTTTTTGCATAACTGAAACATAGTCTTTGTACAAATACAAGAGTCACATCCCTTGCTCCACCCACTTATGTGTCTGGCAAGAGAATGTGGCTGACAAAAGGATTCCTACTCCAGTTTTAAGGCTACAGTTGAAACAGATTTGAAATTTACAGCATGTTGTACACTGAAAGAAAATTATATGGAAATGATGTACCAGTGGTATTTGACTCCTACTAAGTTATCTAAAATGTATAGAACCAGTTCAAATACCTGCTGGAAATGTAAAGAAAATGATGGTACCTTTTACCATATGTGGTGGTCATGTAACACAACAAAATCATTTTGGGAGATATTATATAACAAATTGAAAAAAATGTTTAAGGTAACATTTATTTTAGCAAACAGAAGTTTTTTTATTAGAAATTATATGTGCCGAGATGCCAAAAGACCAGAAATGACTTTTTATGTATGCGGCAACAGCTGCGCAGATGTTATTAGCCCAAAGGTGGAAAGAAACAACGACCCCAACTAGGAAGAATGGCAAACCAAATTGCTGGATTATGCCGAAATGGCTAAAACTAACTGGAAGACTCAGGAGTCAAGAAGATAAAGATTTTTCAAAAAGAATGGAAAAAAATTATAACTTATTTAGGAGACTATTGTAAACAAATTAAAATGTTAGCTGGACTTTAAAAACCACTTATAAAGTAATGAACATTATGGATAATTAAGAAAAATGAAAATTATGGAAACTGCATTGATATGTAGATTTGGAAAAAATAGTTATTGGGATCCATGTAAGGGATGGGGGGAAGTCAAAAGATTCAGAGAATCTCACAAAAGGATTATATAGATAATTTGCTGTAAAATTGTATTTGTAAAAATCAATTACCGGTAATTTTTTTTTTTTTTAAAGGCTACAATCCTATATCCGGTTTTTTAAGGTACATTATAGGATTCCACTGTAAAGTTCCAGTGCTATTTAAACATACCTGGGGCTCAGCTGCAAATGAAACACTTTAAGCATGTTGTAAAGTGCATTATACAAATGTGACACTAGATGGCGATGCCAAGCTATGGCAAATTCAATATACATTTTTCAAAACCTTTTTTTTAAAAAAAACATTTTCACAATGTTTTTTTATATGTGTCTAGATTCCACCCTGGACTTAATCCTCATTGAACACAGCTGCATTTATTTCTGAGCAAACATGCATAGGATGAAGCAGCAGATCTGATTGATTTCAACGGCGCTAAACTTCACCCATTGTGACTTTAGATCATAAGGCCTCTGCTGGGACCATCTCATTGCCCTGTTTTGCACTCATTGGGCAGATGGTTCGTACTAAGTAACTCTTGAATTCTGCTGGTGTTAGTTACAATTTTAAAATCAATCCTTTTTCCAGTACTCTCACAAGGTGGCACTATATCCTCAGCTACCAGGATTCTGCCCTTCATTTCTACTACTTTTGTTTTCCTCTTAAAATGCTTTAGGTCGGGATCTGGGAACCTGTGGCCCTCTAGAACTGGCATCCCCAAACTCGGCCCTCCAGCTGTTTTGGGACTACAACTCCCATCATCCCTAGCCAACAGGACCAGTGGTCAGGGATGATGGGAATTGTAGTCCCAAAACAGCTGGAGGGCCGAGTTTAGGGATGCCTACTCTAGAGGTGGCTGGGCTGTAACTCCCATCATCCCTGACCATTGGTCATGCTGACTGGGGCCGTTGGGAGTTAGAGTTGAAGAGTCACAGCTTCTCCGCTTCTGCCTGCATCTCATTGATGCTGGCCATGTGGCTTAATCTGCAGAGGAGAGTTCTCTGTTTAAAGGAGTCCTCTATCTGAAGGGGGGATGCGGGTGGCGCTGTGGGTTAAACCACAGAGCCTAGGACTTGCCAATCAGAAGGTTGGCGGTTTGAATCTCCGCGACGAGGTGAGCTCCCTTTGCTCGGTCCCAGCTCCTGCCAACCTAGCAGTTCGAAAGCATGTCAAAGTGCAAGTAGATAAATAGGTACCGCTCCGGCAGGAAGGTAAATGGCGTTTCCGTGTGCTGCTCTGGTTTGCCAGAAG